TATGCGCAAATGTCCAAATCCTGTAAAGAACCTCTAGTTTAATAGTTGAACCAATGTTTCTGGAATGTTAAACCACATCTACTATATAATGAGCTAGGGTCAGTCATCCTGATGGTCAGTTACCAAATCAAAAGCTCAAGCAGTTACTCAATCCCACAGCTTACTTAAATCATTCAGTTGGACAGCTCACGCTAAACACTCAAGACGACATACAGTCAGACACTCAATTGACAGAGAAGCAGTAATAAGACAGTTCAATAGTACAAGCGAAAGACTATTCGGTATTCTTTAATAGTTATTATGTATTGTTCATTTCCTCCCTATTATTGTATTGTTTCAGTAAGATATTGTACCATATCATATAATACACTAATAAAGGTTACTGTCAACGTTGTAAAGTTACAGTAATAAAAAAGTAAAAACAATAAGATCATTGTTTGATAGCAACTAAATATATGAAAAGAAGTAAAGAATAATAGATAAATCAGAAAAATTATACTTTTCTTCGAAATTTCATAAATTTATTCATCAGTTATTACTACTAATTAAAATTAATAATATATTAAAAGTGATGAAATTTTCGTTCATTTTTCTAAAAATAAAAAAAATTTTTTCCTAATTTTATACTAATATCAAGATATGTAAAATGTCAGATTTGAAATCTTCCAAAATAAGATTAAAATTTTTTTTTTGTCATATAAAAATTAAAGATTTAATCTTATATGTATATGTACATGCTAAACTATTCTATTCTGCCCATACCGTTCCATTTTGTTTATTTATTATCACTAATTAAAATATTTCATTATATCTTATTTTTTTCTATTCTATTCTATTTGTTTATTCAATCATAATATTGCATGAAAATATCACTTTCAAATTAAATACACAAAAAATGAAATTGCAGTGTAATAGAACAACAAATTAGCAATTTATCCGATATATATATATATATATATATATGTATGAACAGGTATTTCATGAGTCATTCATTGCATTTTTAACGGTTAATATTGAAATAAAAAAAAAAAAAGTAGTAAATAATGGCATACAATACGTGCATATATCATGCATCATGCATCATGCATCATGCATCGTGCACAATACTATTATTAATTTAAAAAAAAAACTTACTGTATTTTTCATTTACATTGAATTTTACATATTATTAATAAATAAGCTGAATAAGTTTAATTAATAATGTAATGTTCAAAATTAACACCCATCATTAGAAAAATCAAATAGCTCATTAATAGAAATTAATCATCTCATTGAAATAGTTAACGAAGTGGAAAAAATACGGTAACCATATATCTCTTTCAGAATGTTTCATTTTTTATTTATTGTCATGTAGGATGAAAAATTTACAAAATTTTATTTATGGCAAAAAAAAAAAGGAAGCATTTAATGTTTTACTATTGAAAGGATACGCATATGTTGCATCACAATAATGAATGTTCAATAGCTGTAATTGTATATTGTTTAACTTCTAAAGAAAAAAAATAAATTGCAAAATAACTCAAATATTTATTAAATTTAAATGTTAAATGTTTTAGAATAATCTTTTCAATTTAAAATTTTGATCAAAGCATTGAGAATAATTATTTGATGAACAAATAGAATTTTCAAGTTATTTTTAAATTCTTGTTAAATTATTCAAAGCATTTGTTTGAATTCGTATTTTGAAATAAAGCGGAATACTTGAGGTAAAATAAAATATTTGAAGTAAAATGGAATAGTCGAAATGAAACGAAATACTTTAAATGAAATAAAAGAATGAAGTTAAACCATAAATGGACGAACGAATGGAGGAAAAACCAAATGATCCAATTAATCTATAATTGATTCCTAACAGGATTCGAATTTGAGAAAAATATTCTTAGTACGTTTTTTTTTTTTTTGAAACAATTTGAAGTAATTCCTTCAATTTCATCAATTTTACGATTCGATTCTTATTGATTTGTATTGCTGTTGCAGCCATTGCATATGCTTCACATTTGATAAACAAAATAAATGCTTGATATCGATAAGCCTATTAGCATTGATAAATTTCCAAAAGTTTACTGCAAGAAAAGCATGAATTTTTAGAATTCAATGAAAAAATGCTTCATTCGAAGCAAAGTTTTAAAATTTAACTGAAATAAATTTTTTTCCCTTGAAAAATTTAATAAGAATTTCACAGTATAATGCGATAAAATTATTTCCTTATTTTCCATGTATATAAATTTATTTTAAAATAAACAGTTTGAAATATTTCAAAATATGATCTATTGAAAAGACATGTGGACGATAACATACATAAATGTAAGTTACAATAACCTAAATCAGAAACAATAACCAGTTAGGAATAATGAGTGTAAAATTTGCAAAATTGTTTCCAGCCAACCAAATTTGATTCCATCTAAAAATTTTGATTATCAGGATCTAAAAGGTACTAACTAATTTGTTTTATTAAAAGGAAAAAAAAAGTATGTATGTGAAAATTTAGTCTTAGATATAAAATTTCGAATGAAATTGAAAAAAAAAAATTGATGAAAGTTACTATTTTCAAGATGTGCTGCATAAGTGATGATAAATAGCATATACTAGGAATAATTCAACAATAAAATACGCTCCTGATTACTCATATATGATAAAGATGATGATAATATTATGAATGTTAACATGAAACTCAGATAAATATTTGAATCCGATTAGCTAAACTTTCCAACTTCTCTTGATCGCTTTACAAATGCAAATTGTTCGATTTCTTGTTTCATAATCTTTAAGGTAAATAATTTCTGCTTCATGATAAACAATATTTTTAAATAAACCATAAATGATTTTGATTCTGAATTACAATTCAGGGTTAAATTTCCCATCCTAATTCGTTTAGTTGATTTTTCATTTTAGCAAGAAAATTTTTTTAGCATGAAAATTTTTTAGCATATAAATATTGAATATATTTGAAGGGGGGGGGGGAAAAAAAGAAAAAAAAGAACAAACCTAACAAACACATGAAGCAATTCTTTGTTTTCTTCTCCCTTAACTGTTCAATGAGCTTTTCAGTGAAAGCTATCAGGTAAAACTACCTGACGACACCTCAAATTATCACGGTACTATATTGAATCTAATTAAATCAAAAAGGAAAAAATTCAAATACATACATTGTATTATAAGCATATCTTTACTTCTTTTGAAACATTTTTGTCCCATCTGATCGTCATTTTGTACAGCTAAAAACAAAACGATAAATGATAATGAAATTCTCGTCGTTGAATTATAATAATATGCTAATTTTCAGTAATCTAAATTAATTAAAAAATTTCAAAGATATACAAATGAATGCATAATATATTCATAATCGAGCAAGTTTAATTTAATCAATAATTTCAATTTCTTAAATTTAATAAAATTCTAGTCAATTGTACTCTTGTGAGACTATTAGAATTTGAAAAATGCAATTTATGCATAGCTGTAATCATTCTATAATATGAAAATATGCCTTTACCAAATATTTCGCTTTTTTTTTCCTTTTTTTGTTTAATGTGAAATATTATCAATGAAACAAACCATGTGGATTCATAGATCCATGGATTCAAACCACGTGGATTCATAGACAATTGTGAAAACGACATGCTTGACATTGAGTCATGCAATATCTACAATTGCGACATCTTCATACGACATCCACAATGCACTGCTTTCGATCCTTGCAATGATCGATCTCATTGACTTTAAAGTTTGCTTAATTTAATACGAAAGCATGTAGTTGATAGGAGTTTTTAGAGCGATAGAATGGAATGAATTTAGGAAAATGAATTAAATTAAAATTGGACTAAATTGGTTGAAATCATTTTTTCAATTTTGTGGAAAATATTAAATGTTGATAGTTGATTTGAATGAAAATTTGAGAGAGCTTCTTATATAAATAATATATTAGCAATGTATATGTGTATGTGTGTGTGTGTGTGTGTGTGTGTGTGTGTGTGTGTGTGTGTGTGCGTGTGTGTGTGTATGTGTGTTCAAACATGAAATATGTTTAATTCAAACAGATAGGAAATGAAAAATCTGATTTAATCACACAATACTGATAATTACAGGAAGATAAGTATGGTATTGGTTATGGTATCAGTTATTAATACTTTACAAGTAAACAGGCTAATAATATACTTTTCAAGTGATGTTACCCTTATTTATATCATTTTTTTTAAAAAAGCACTTTTCAAATTAATGGGCCACATTAAACATGAAAATTCACTATTAATTAACTGATTGAAAAGTTCATATAAATCAAACTTGACGTCAAAATTTACTTTGAAATATGCATGAGATTTGAAGTTTGAAAATCGCTCAACCTCTATGACCAGTAATTTAAATTAACATTAACTTACGAAATGTTGATAAAATTTGATTTCCATGAACATATTGGATATGATGTGATCATTCTTTTATGTTTAATGAATTTCATTTAGCTAAACTGAACTTCGATAGCAAAACGAATCTTTTAGCGGATGTATAAAATCAGCTTTTTATTTCAAATTTTGGAATAACTTTGAGAGAGACAGGAAAAAAAAACGAACTAATGGATGACATAAGAACATAATTCAGTTCTTTTTTATAATGAAACTATTAATGAGCTTCTTTTTCAGTCATATAAGCAAAGTATTTTTGGTTTAAAATTAATTCTAACAATTAAACGACAAAAATAAAAAGTAATAACTAATGGAGCCTTGAGAAAATGGCAGATATTTTCATATTTTATTGCTAAACTATACTAGTTTAACTATTCTGGTCATTGATTTCGACCATTATTCCAAAGATATCTTTCAGAACAAAACTTTTTATCCTTCTTTTTTTTTTTTTTTTTAGAAAGAAAAATCTGATAATACGGTCGATAAGATATGTTAAAGAAAAAAACTATTGCATTGATTTTAAATTAAATTTAAATTTCAAATCTTATTAAAAATCAGTACAAAGGTAAAAGTAATTTATTTCGCTCCCTATTTATGCAATTGTCTTGGTAATAATTCAATTAAATTTATTCAAATTATTAATAAGTAAAAACTTTTGTAACACACTACCATTATAACAGATACTTTTTTAGAAAAAGCCTCGGCATCCGTCACAACTCGGAACTTCATAATGTCATCCTAAAATATCCAATTAAGATCTGAATATTTAAAATTTAATTAACAAACAAGAAAAAAAAATTCAGAGATTCTTTTCTCTTCAGTATTTGAAGCTTTTTTGGTTTCTATATGAATGTAAAATATTTTTAAAAACAAACTACTAGCTTGATTACCACAAACGCGGCATAAAATATATCAGCATTGATCATAACGAAGTACGAGATGACAGTTGACAAATTAAACAACCTTTGCAAGTTCAACAAACGGCCAGGTAAGAAAAGAAAGAAGATTTATAGAATGGAGGATGAGAAATGAGATGTTGACCGCGGAAGTGGAATTTGAGAAGTGCTGTCATCAATCAGTCTTTGTCATCTATTCTGTACGAATTCTCAAATTACTACGGTTTGTTTAGCTTCTTACATGAAGCCAGCATTCATGAATTATTAGTTATCCCATGTTACACGACACGTGGGAATATTGGAATGCTTACAGCAAATAGCATCACTTTATCCCACCAACCGCTTTTAACTAAGTGGTTAAAAGGTATACAAAATTTTCGAAAATGTTTTACTGAAGATGTTCATTTCTTTATTTATTATGCTAATTAAGAAATTTAATGACATTTTATCAAGTTATAATGACAAATATAAATAAGATTTCGAAAGATAAACAAATAGAAAAAGTCGAAGATCATTGGTAAGTATTATAAGGCATAACAATCGGTTTTTTATATTTGTTAAATACTATATATTCATATTTTTAGAAAAATTCAAATTTTCATAAGGTTACAAAAGTTGATAAAAAAAAAAACTCACAGAAGCCTATAATTTTCAAAAACTAATTCCATGTCTTGAATTAATTTTTGAAAAAGTATTGCTAGAAAAAAAAGTAGAAAGAAATTAATTTTTGAAGTTTGATAATTAACAACCATTACTTTTTAAGTTAGCCTATTAATACTGCAATATCAAGTAAAAAAAAAAAAAAAAAAAACAACCTTAGCTATACATAGAAATTAAATTAATAGCAAACATAGGTACAAGTTTAAATATCGATGAAATTTTATCACAAGCAAATAATTGAAAATTATCTGTAATGATATTATCAATTGATTTGAAGTGAATTGAAAATTCCTCTTATCCATAATTCATCATCCTTTCCATTTGTAAATTTATTGAAGCAAAATTTAAAAGGAGCAATGAAGTAGAAGTACAAGTGAAATGATAAATCAATGAGTGAAAAAATGAAAAAAAAAAAAAACATCAATCTTATGCAACTTAAAATGTTAGTTTCTGAATGCTTCCATGTGAATGATCGGTATATCAAATGAATAATGATCGCAATGCATTGCAGACAACTGCGCCTCTTTTTTACATCCTTCTTGATATTCTTATTAGCTTGTAGGCCATTTCCTTTATACATATCTAAAAAAAAATTTATCATTATAATTTTACTAAAATATCAAAAGATTAAATTAAAATACCAAAAGGTCAAGCGTCATACATTTCATTTTCCACAAATGTCACATTTTATTTTAGTTGTCCTCCTCTTACCCAAAAAAAAAATAAAAAAGGTAACACCTTAACCATTTTTCACTAAATGATTGCAAAAGATGCAATGTAGTACCTATTAAAGAAAAAAAAAAGCACAAAGGAATATGTATATTTTCGGCGAGAATACTTTCCGCTTATTTCATAGTTAGCATAAATTATTGACACCTAGAAAGATGACATTTAATGTAATTGTTTTCGTCACCATTTAATGTTATTTGTTAAACTAAAAAAAAAAANANANATATATATATATATATATAT